TCGGCAAACTACCATAATATGGTGCAGCCATCCAGAAGACGGCCATAATCTTGCATTTGCATTCATCAGCAGAAAGTATATTGTACCGTCACAATGTTGTTTTTATTATAGACAAATTATAAACGTTTACACGATCACCATGTTTCATTTCGTTAAATATTATACAACCTTAGGACGGCGTTCAAAAACATGACCTGAAAACTGAATTTTATATTAGTATAAGAATTAGATTGGGACATTCACACGATCAAACAGGCTCAAATGCTTTTTTTTTCCTTTCGGAAACCGACAAAGATTTGGGAGTCTGTTTTACTGTAATCAAAGAACGATCTGATTCCTTTGTTTAAGGACCTGATTTAATTTAAGTAAATCAATGAAAGCGTGTCTCTGTTGAAAACAGTCTTCCGTCATAGATCGACCGTTACGTCACTCTTGCGCTGAGCCCCGTGATCTTGCCAATGCCATGGGGCGCTTTAGATCAAGAGAATGGGTTAGCTTTGACAAGTTTATTTTTATTTTTGCATTAAGAGCGACTGTACATTATTTGAGTCCCGGCTTTCTTGCCATTAGTTAAAATGGCTACTTCCAGATAACCCCAGAGTTGAGAGCCACGCCACTTTCAACCACGCGTCTGCTGTGACTAATAAAATGACTGGAAATTTCAACATCCCCTTCGTGGGCACGACAAGGCGAACTTAGCACATAATTTCTCTCTTTACATTTTTAGGGGTTCGCAGTGGCCGCGTGGTCTGAGGCGTGGGCCTTGTGCCGCTTGGTCGCTGGGGCCGTGGGTTCGAATCCCACTCAAGCCATGGATGTTTGTCCGCGTTTTTCTGTGTTGTGTTGTCCTGTTTTTTTTATACAGGTAGAGGCCTTGCGACGGGCCGATCCCTCGTCCAAGGAGTCCTACCAAAATGTCTATAGATCAAGCCAGGTAAAACTTAGGACCCGCACTGCTCAGGCACTTGAAGAACGGGTCTTTCCCAGTATCTTTACATTTTAACACTTTAAATTACATTACATGGCAGCCATTGCAATTTTGAGATTTAATTACATGGATTGTGGTCTCACGGTTTCTGACGCCTTTGGTCCAGGGCTGTAGAAGAATATCTTTCGAAACGTCATAAACCATAAAAACCACAATTAACGTGATTTTTGTCGTCTGAAGGATTCAGTAAAGAATGTTTTATTATAAATTCCGCCATGGTGAGGTCTGGTCTATGCGATGATGTATAGTATTCATCCATCCACCCACATCCATTCGACCATACATCTGCCTATCATCTGTCTAGCCTCAAAAAGTCATTAAGACTTCCAAATGCCTTGTTACAGTTCTTACATGACCCTTGCAGGTCGTTGGTCTCCGCTTCAATTCGATGCTTTAGTTATATATATTTAGGAAACGTCAGCCATAAGCTGCAATACAAACTTTCTTTCAGACTTCTTACACACCCACAGTCTCATAAATCATGCTGTATCTTCCAGCAGCAGCAGCAGCAGCCATCTTTAGCAGTCTTTTGTTCTCCGCCTACTTAGCCCCCCCCCCCTTATACCGCGGTTTGGTTTTTGTTTCTCAGATTACTTCAAAAGCGTTCGAACTAGTTGGCCGAATTTTAATTAAATTCAGCATGACAGTTCGTGTAACTAAATGCGGCCTTGCAATATGTTATAATATATAAACAATAGAGCAGAGTAGTCCGAAGCAACTCATCTAAAGAAATCTCCGGACGTAGAGCTCGAAGGTCGAATACTGCGAAACGTTTTCAAAACACATTTTCTTAAACGTCGTATTTCTGTTGGCGTTTTTATGTCTGTCTTTCAAATGATCGGTTCGTGGACGATTTCTGCACCAAAATTCACATCCGAGTTCATGTTGAGGTCACAATAAAATTCTATGTTCCCGTCTTTAGGTGGATGGCTGTGATACTTAAAGACAACCTGCCTTCCTGAAGATAGGAGCTGAGCTAACTCCCGAAACGCTGTTTATATCAAATATACCTCAGACAGTGAACAGTGTCCAACATTCCAAAATAAAAAAATAACGTCGTATAAAATTTCAACATCCGACATAGATTTTTTCCAGTTTTGCCCACACCTCAGAAGTTTACAAAGTTATTGTTAGTATTGTCGAATACAGGAAGTTATAAAATACGAAACGGGAAGGTCGCCGCCAGTGGCACGATATTTGCCGAGTTTCATGAAAATTTGGTCCCTTAACTGCATCAGGACATACACGCTGTCGTAAACGCACCTCAGCAGCAAGACTGACTACAGGCGTTTATTTCTTCTTATGCTGTTGAATAAAATCTTGGTTTAAGGTAATAGAGCTAATCGTCCGGAGATAGGGATTAGCTCTATCTAGTGGGCCCAACTGTGTAGGAACCTGAAGACGGAGATAGAGTCCCATCTCCGAAACGTCGTTTTTTACGTTTTATATTTACTAGACGATGGATAATATCCAAGGAAATTTTTATTCAATTGACTCTTCACCATCGTCAAGAAATTTTAGATTTGATATAAAAGCTAAGTACTTATTTTAATACACGAATTCCTGTGCAATCAACGTCCAGTGAGGTATTACACAAGCATGGTTTTATAAAGTACATACCTTTAATGTTCTGTAGAAAACCATAGTCTTTTGAATTGTATTATATGAATTAATTTGTTTTGTCACTGATGATGACCTCTTGAGGTCGAAACGCGTTTGGCATTAGTGTCCTTTAAAGTGTAAGCAGTTTTGTTTGTATGCATGATTTTATATTCCAATACACTGCACGGTATGCAAGGTCTTTGCCCTTCCCGGAAACAAATTCCCGATCGTCCAGCCCGTAGTCTAATCACCAAATCCCAGTTTATTTTTATCTGCTTAAGGACGCCACATCACTACGGAGTTAAAGGAAACACAGACATAAACCTTTATTATTATTATTATTCCATCTATTCACTACTTTATAGTGTATTTACTTCTATGTACCCGAGACAAACCTTGCCCCTGAGGTACACAGTGCAGCAGCTATTTCCGAAATACATTTTGTTTTTAATATGTATTACATGTGTTATACGAGGTGCGATCGGAAAGTTTCAAGACTGTGTCAATAGAGGGCGAACCGGATGTAGTACGAGCTTCTGCCGCTAGGGGGTGCGGCCTACATTCATAGTGAATCAGTGTGCCAGCCGGCATCATCGAATTAGCATTTGTTTCTTAGTTACGGGCGTTTTGGTAGTGCATTACACCGACCCTCCTGCGATTTCGGAATGGCGGATTTTCATGAACAAATCA